AGAAAAGCATGAGCTTGTAAGTTATTCCCATAATAAATCTTTGAATCTTTGATCAAAGTAGTTTCTAGTAACTATTCTTCCGGTCAATTTGGCATGATTTTATTTTGGCTCATATGAATTCAAAAACAATCTCAGAAGCTTTTATGAAGGGACCTTGAACAGACACAAAACAACGCACAAACTAAACCCTGTAACGACCGTGAAATAGGTATGGGGGAACATCCATGTAAAACAACCGAAATAACAGAAATAAAGCACCACTATTATACAAGCACTAGAAATAACTTCATGGTTGCCGGTGGAATGTTTGCCAACAACTTCTCCGGATAGAATCCAAGGTTATGCGGCCACTGTGGTACGTTGAGTCTAAAGGACGGAAAGAAACACATGAAAAAACCGCACTGTTCGAAGTTTAAATAACACTGGGCAGGAGCCTGTTTGATGTCATAAGTTTGAAAAAATACATCATCAGTTGAGTTTATCTTCGAGTTCATATTCATTGAAGAAATAATGTAATGTAGTTGACCGGTAGATAAATTAATGACAGAAACCTTGTTTACCACGCTGCGATTATTCCATTTTATCGTTGTTACTTTTGTTGATTATTATGGCTTATTTGTTTGTTGTGATTGAGGCCAAGCTCTCACAGATTGACAGAACCCGAAATGAGTTTTTATGGCTCTGAAAGGTCAGATGAATTATATACTCTCCGACAGTGATTCGTTGTCAAGGAGAAAAACAATTTACGTTGTTCTTTGGTCATTTTATCACTGGAATGTTATTTTGGGATTGCACTTAAATAGACTATGGTGTTTAGTGACATAATCATAGGCGTGCGGATTCGGCCAGCTCAGTAAAGTTCGCCGGAAAATGAACAGGAAGATACGGTAGGTATACAGTGCGTTTCTCAAAAACCCACTACGTCAGGGAGACACTGAAACAGGCAACAGCATTCTGCTCTCTACAGACAGGTAAGCGGTACCATCGTTGCAATTGCATCACAATGATGTATGTCTTGAGGCATAAATTGGAGGACAGAACTGGGTACGCGCAATTATTTGCTTATGTGTTCATCAAGGCGTACACTATTGTGTGACTTTGAAATAATTATGTGCATACTTCAGTCGATTTCAGTTGATTATCCCACAAATAGTAAAAAAAATTATGCTGACCATTTGAACACCTTGAACCTTTCTGACGATTAAACACCCAAAACGTTAATCCGATGTGAAATCCAACCCGATCAATAAATATGTTTGTAACCGTTCTGGGTAAAAATAGACAGTTGACCCTTTAAAAACGGCTTGTGTAAATAAACTGAAAACATTGGGTCTTCTGAAAACCAAGCAAACATGTTTTGCTCGCTTACTGTGTGGTTCCCTCCGGCAGAGCTTGACCCGGTGATGAGAATACGGAACTGAGAAGCAAGTGGAGTAATATGGGGAACACAGGATTCTCTGGGGGGCAAGCCACGAGAAGCGAGATTGATTGTGTCAATGCGAGTTGCGATAGAATCACTTGCACACGTCCAAATATCGAGATGGACATGGGGTTATCAGTCGTTTCCATTGAGGGACTGAGTAGTCCGGCCTCCAGCTGCAGAAAAAACATACGTGATGAAAACAGAATGTGTCATGGTTTGGGATGCGCATCTGGCAAAAAGTGTTAACCGATAGCATATACCAACTGACCTATTTTAAGCACATGTGGTGAAGAGCATATACTGGAATGCACAACACAAAGCAGTCACCAGACCTGGATCGCATCCGATCAAGACGTAACATTGAATACTATTGCAGAGATGGGCGATAAAACTAAATTTGACAAAAAAAACTAGCAATGTTGCATCACGTATGGACAAAGTGAATCAGTCTGATTAATTTGTGATACCAGACGTGCGATTTCCTCCGGGGTTTACGATAGGCCACAAAATGCAGTTTGTTGCAAGGTGTTTACAGATTTTCGATTTGGGGAAAAAGCTTGAGATGGACCGCTTTTGTTGTTTTGTGCAAATCAAACTCTTAGAAATGAAAATAATATTAAACTAACGTAAATACCACAGTTTGTAGCAGGAATAGAAAACACTCACTAGGAGACGCTCGAGCAATATGACGAATCTTGCAGGCAAACAGCCTTCCGACGAACCACTTTTCAGAGATTTTGGTGCATTTACGATCAATTCGTCAAGATGTCTCGAAATGACTGGGGACAAGCGAAACCATGCTGAAGACAATGCAGTTGCGGTGTCGTCTGCTTTTTCCAAATCACTGGGGCTGGTGGATTGCATCTCGAGATCGACAGCATGCATAATAGTCACTATCCACCAGGAAAACGACGGCTCAAGATGTGCGGTATTGGAGCGTGACTGACGCAAACTGGGCCAGAATAGTGCGATTGCAGATTTTCGGGCGTTTGGAATATTGTCTACGGGATCGGGATTTGAACAGCCGGTTGCGGGAGGCTCATGACCAGTGGCATGAGCTTTTAACACAGAGAAAGCTCGAGAAGAATAATGCCAAGCAGCTGATGCCACCACCCCGAGTTGTTCGGACCACGAGGTGGTGTCGTCAGATATGCGGCGTGTGTAGATGCTCTGAAAAAAAAAACAAAGAAAGCATTTGTATTTGTGAAACTTGTGTATAAGCTTACATTTCAGTCAAAAATATAC